TGAATGCCTATTTGTGTAGCATCTTGCAGTCTGGCATCACAAGAGCTTTGATGCCCAAGATTCTAGAATTCTACATTCAAATTCTTGCCCCTGCCACTTCCTACCTCTTTGGGCAAGTTACTTAACCTCACTGAGCATCCATTTCTTTGTCTGCAAAAAGAAATGAGTTTATCCACCTACCTTAGTGGGTTACTACAAACATAAAACGACATAAGAAGCCACACAAAGACAAATGTGCACAGCAACTTAACCTGTGATAGCCAAAACCTGGAAATGTTTATCAACAGGTGAATGGAAAAATTAACTGTGGTACAAGCAAACAACAGAGTACTACTCAGCAGTAAAACAGAAAACACACCAAACAACATGAATAAATCTTAAATGAGTAAGCTGAGTGAATAAAAAGAGCTAGGTTTTGAAAAAGAGTACATACTATTTGATTCCATTTATATAACATTGCGGGAAATAAACTCAGTCATGGAGGCCGGGTGAGGTGGCTCACACCTGTAATCCCAGCACTTTGGGAAACTGAGGCAGGCAGCTCACCTGAGGTTAGGAGTTCAAGACCAGCCTGGCCAACACGGTAAAAGCCCGTCTCTACTAAAAATAAAAAAAAATTTGGGCATGGTGGCGGGCACCTGTAATCCCAACTACTTGGGAGGCTGAGACATAAGAATCCTTTGAACCCAGGAGGTGAAGATTGCAGTGAGCCGAGATTGTGCCACCACACTCCAGCCTGGGCAACAGAGACTTCATCTCAAAAAAAAAAGAAAAAAAAATCAGTGATGGAGAGGAGATTAGTGGTTGTCTGGGGTTGGAGGGATAACAAAGGGGCATGAGGAAACTTCTGGAGCAATGGAAATGTTCTGCATCTTGATGTGGTGAGGGTTTTATGGGTTTGAATACTTTAAATATGTGCAATGTAGTTTACTTCATTTATACTTTGATAAAGCTGAAAAATTTCAGAAACATGAGATCAGGCTAGTGCAGTGGCTCATGCCTGTAATCCCAGCACTTTGGGAGGCCGAGGTGGGTGGACCACTTGAGGTCAGGAGTTTGAGACCAGCCTGGTCAACATGGTGAAACCCCGTTTCTACTAAAAATACCAAAATTAGCCATGTGTAGTGGTGCATGCTTGGAATCCCAGATACTCAAGAGGCTGAGGCATGAGAATTGCTTGCACCTGAAAGGCAGAGGTTGCAGTGAGCCGAGGTCACACCACTGCACTCCAGCCTGGGTGACACAGCGAGACTCCGTCTCAAAAAAAAAAAAAGAAAGAAAGAAAAATGAGATCAAGACGTAATGTCCTATCACAGGACTGGGCTCATAGTAGCACTCAACAAATGTCAGCTCCATTCTGGAGAATAAAGAATAATCTCATTAGAACTCCTGGAAGAAAAACATGAGAGACTGCCAGGGAAAGGAGTCAGCATTTAGTTCTAGGTTTACTAGGACCCAGCTATTCAGGACAGGCTCATCTCAGCTAGAAAGCCGAACAAGGAAGACAAACAGAAAAATAAACAAGGCTTGGTCCTTGCCCCCAGGGAAACACAAATAGGTTTAATATATGATGTAATCAAAGTGTCAAAAGGACGGTATTGACAAACTACAGGCGTGCACAAGAGAGTAATTCTGATAGAATGGTTGTCAAGAAGGAACAAATCCAGGTGGGTGGGGTCCTAGCAAGCAGTAAGAGGTGGGGGCCTGTGCAGAAAGGGCTGCCTGCACTGAATCAGAGAAGCAGAGAAAAGAGGGTCCTGGGCGGGGGCAGTAGGCAATGCCGTGACACACCGTTCTCCAGGGAACGATAGGGAGAGGATCTACGAAGGGCAAGACCAAGCTACAGAAAGTCCTGAGCTCTGGCTTGAATCTCAACTTCATCCATCCAGGGAAAGGCCCTAAAGAGTTGTGCAGAATCAGATGTGTGTTTTACACAAGCAGGTCCTATCTACAGGGCAACTGGGCAATTTATCAAGAGTGCCGACATTCGCATCCCTCAATTCAGTAATTCCTGAGGAAATAGTCAGAAATGTGTACAAAGATTTATGGACAACATTGCTTATCACAACATTATTTGTAACAGCCCAAAGCCCAAAATAACTTAAATGTCCAATAAAAGGGGACTGCAAAATAAATTATGGTATACTGAGTGATTAAATCATATATAGCCATTAAATCATACTTTCCAAGCATAGGCACGACAGGTGCACACCTCACTGTACAATGTTAAGTCGCATAAAAGCAGGATTCAAAAACATACGGTGAGTATTCATTCAGCAATTATTTGCTGATTATCTATTAAGTGCCAGGCACTGTCCTAAGCACTGAGGGAGCAGCAGAGAATAAGAGAGAAAATCCCTGCACTCATGGGAAGGGATTCTATCTTCTAATGAAGGAAGGCAGACAACAAAGAGGAAACAAATAGCAATAAGCAAGCTATATTGCAGGTTACATGGTAAGAAGTGCTATGGAGAAAATCAAGAGGGGAAAGACATGGGGAATTGGGAAGAAGGTAGAAATTTTAAAGAGGTAGTCAAAGAAAGTTTCAGAGAGAAGGACCCCGTTCTCTCTGAAGATGAGCAAGGGGATCCTGGGGGAGGACTTCCAGGCAGAGGAACAGGCAGTGCAAAAGCCCGGAGGAGGACTGGCAGGTTCACGAAAGAGCAAAGCAAAAGCAGCGGAACACCAAAGACAAGCAGTGGGAGAATGCGGTCAAGGGGAGCTGTGCCACTCTTGGTGTGGCGACAGCCAAAGGAGAGCTCTGAGTAGAGGACTGGCAGGATCTGTAGGAGGACAAGGGCAGGAGCAGGGAGGCCATGTGGGATATCCTCCAGTGTTGTCCTAGCTCATTATAATGGGTGTATGTTTATTTCATAATCAGAAAACAAAAGATAATTCCATCAAGGACAGCACAATGCACAAAAGCAGTGTGGATGCTGCAGCTGAAGCTCAGGGAAACAAACAAATAAGGAGGTCAGGGAAATCATTCAGAGACCAGCTACGAAGCAGTGGGGGGACAAAGCACTGCATGGAAACTTCATGTGTTTGTGAAGGTTCTTGGGAGCAAAGCTACTCTTCGTCATAATTAAAGACATATAACCACGATGAAAAACAACACAACTGCAAAAGGGAGAAAAAAGAATTCCCCCATCATCTCAGCATCCTAATACTTAAATATTTCCTTCCAATCTTTTCTCCTAGACATGCTTCTGTTTTTCCCTAATCCTCCCACAATGCCCAGCACATTGTAGGCACTTAATATTCACTGAACAAATAAATGGAGGACCAAATGCATGACCAAATGCTCCAAATAATTGTGTGTTACATTAGCTATATTAGAGGCATTTACAGACATGGTTTTAATAGGCTTGGGCGAAGGAATGGCAACTACATGCAGGGGGAAACAATGGTCATAGATATCTGCACATTTAAGAGGATGATGGTGGCATGACTGACTCATCAAGGGCACTGGAAGGAAGCAATCTGAATAGGAAGATGCTGGCTTCAGTTGTGGTGACTTGTTGCAGAGGATGCACAGCATGTCCCTGCAGAGACACTCAGCTGTCCTTTCTCAGAGCTCAAGAAGCAGTTGGAGCCTCAGTACGGAGATAGCCACAGCAGAGAGTAGTTGGGGAGGAGGGGAGGAAGAGAACACTTGCAGACCCTACTGCATGCCAGACATTGTGCTACGAGCTTCACACATATCCACCTTTCTAATCTTCACAACTGCCCCATGAAGTGGACACCCGTGTTCCTTTTATGGATGAGGACACTACAGGACTGGGAAGCCAGGACTCAAATCCATGAACTTGAGGGCTTTTTCCACTCATTCTCCTTTCCAATCATAGAAGCTTAAAGTATACCCAGAAGCCCAGGGAGATAATGTGTTCAGATGACTTCGTTACATAGTGCCCAGTTTTTGCTCTCAAACTCCTGGGACCCAAAAAGAAGAACATTTTCTTCCTTTTCCAAAAACATGTCTTCAGTGTTTTCCAACTCACTATTAAAACCTGTGGAATTGTTTTTGTTTTTTCATTTGTATGAGTCTTCTGTCTCCCATCAGACAGAACACTGCAAGATGCCAGGACATGCCTCACGACTTCCCCCCTCAACACTGGCCCAACACTCTGCACACAGCAGGTGTTCAGCAAATGCTCTGATGCTGATGCTGACCATCCCTTCCCAGTCTTCATGGGCTATTCCCTGCTTCCTCAGTCCTTGGACACTCGCATGGTAGGTGACCCGACTCCCTCTGGCTCAGCCAAGGCAAAGCCAAGCTCAGATGGATGAGCCCTCTTGCGAGATGGCAGACAACAGGCAGGTGAATTTGGGTGGACAGGAAGTTTCATACGAGGAAAGACGGCAAATCTTCCTTCTCCACGGGGCTTGCTATGAAACAGTCTGCAAACTGGTTGGCTCATGGGCCAAATTCAGCCCATCCATATGTATTGCTTGGCTCACACATGATTTTCATTTGTTAAAATTGTAAATTAGTTCTTTTTTCTTTTCTTTTTTTTTTTTTTTTTTTGAGACAGAGTCTGGCCTTTCTCCCCAGCTGGATGTAGTGCACGATCTCGGCTCACCTGCAACCTCCGCCTCCTGGGTTCAAGCAATTCTCCTTGCTCAACCACCTGAATAGCCTGGATTGGACAGGCGCCCGCCACCACGCCTGGCTAATTGTTTTATTTTTTAGTAGAATGGGGTTTCCTATGTTGGTTCAGGCTGGTCCTTGAACTCCTGACCTCAGGTAATCCACCCGCCTCGGCCTCCCAAAGTGCTGGGATATAGGCATGACCACCGCGCCCAGCCACTATTTTTTAAAAAGTGAGAGATTTCACATAAAAATCTGATCTCTGTAAGCTGCCCCTTGAGACAGGCCTGCCCTTTTCATTTCTTCACAGCCCCTACCCCATCCAGCTCTCCCAACAGCACCCCCATCCCCCGTAGGCCCCTGCTGGAGACCCCACCTGCCCGTGTCTGTGCACAGCCCATGTACTCACCGGCACTCAGAGTTGTGAACTCCAGGAAGCGGTATTCATAGGACACATCTATCTTGGTTTCCACCTGAGGCCTCTTCAAAGTTGAATAAATATTCCCAGGCCGTTTTTCGTCACGTTTCTCTAACTTGTTCAATCCGCAACCCATTTCAGCAGCTGCTGGCCAAAGGAAAAAGGCGGGGAGGTGATTTTTTCCTGAGATTTTGTCTTTAAACACCCTAGTATAAAAGACGCCATAATTTTCCTGAAGAATACATGACACACCTCAGCCTTTACGAAACTGAGGGTGTAATTTAATATAGGACCTGAACACAGACGACTGAGCTCAGTACCCAGGCTGGCTTCTCCTTCTGCTAAGATACTATTACCAGCCGTCCTGAGATTTTTTAAAATGACACCAAAAGCATACCTGTTTTTTACCTTTTTTTCCCCATCTGAGGAAAATAATACCTCCCACTGCCTCAGTTCCACTATAATCTGTATCCATGAATAAAAAATGGGATCTAAAAAGCAATACAGTGCATTATAGTGTCAGCCCATCTATAAAAAACAAGAGACGTGTCACCTTCCCTGTGGTTGCTAAGACAGAATAAGTTGTTGTTACAATTTCGAAACTCCAAGTCCTTTCTACCCTCAACAGTAATTATTTAGACAGGAAATTTATATTCATAAAACATCTCTAAAAGTAGATGGTGGTATTTTTATGGGCCTTGTCTGAAAGTCCCCTTTTTCTTCATTTTTAGACCAAACTGCAGGAAATAATAGTATGCTTCCAAGCTCTTAGAGAGTCATTTTAGACCAAAATGAAACCTGACTGAACACTAATAGCAGGGATAGAGCAATTGGAAGCAGAAATCCACGTGTATTAGAGCAAAAATCTGTAGTTCCAGTTTGAAAAGAAAATAAAGAGATGTTAAAGTAATGGGCACATGAAGGTGAGCTGAGCTTCCAATCTTCCATGGGATGAAAACAATGAAGGCTCTCTGTTTGTTTGGGCAGAATGACTTTCATGAAATAGCTTTTCATCCACTCCTCCAACTTCAGCAGAAGAGATTTTGCTTTTGTGTACAAAGCATAACGGATGCTTCCCTCCTCTCTGGGGTACCACTGCTGCCATCAGAACATATTTCACAAAAATATTAACCAGCCAAGAACATCACACACAGAAACACAGTGACCACTTCCTTTTAGAGATAAGAATTTCCTTTTGCTTAATTCATTTACAAGGCACCCAGCTTCCTAAGGCAATTTGGCAAGCTCCAGAAAAACAAACTGAACCTCAAAAAAGCAACGAGGGCATCGGGTGGGTGGAATGGAAGGAGGTGGTGTAGCGACAACTAGGCTCTACTTTTCAGTAATTTTAAAAAGTCTGAAAGAATGGATGAGAACAGGAAGGCTTACTTATGCCTTAATAAGGGAACATTAGTATCCAAAGGGCCAGAGCAGACATGATTTATGTGCAATCTGCATGAACTGATTACTTGTAAAATACTCTGTAGTTCTGCAGATGAAACAGCTGATATGTAAAGGGCTGCATATTTAACTGCTGAAAAGCAAGCCAGCTGGCATCCACTGGGACAAAGCAGAAAAGAAATGGACAAGGAAGCTTCTAAGTGTTGGGAAGAGGTAACCCATCGAGATGTGCACTATTACACTCTGCAAAGAGCCCAAAGGCTCGCCAAGTCACTCATTCATGCAGATTTACTCATGCCTACTATGGGCAAAGCATTATCAGCGATTCAAACAGTGTGGTCTTTGCCCTCAAGGAGGTTAGCCTACTACAAGAGGGAGGACATTCAAGCTATAACAAGATGGGAAAATGGCAGGGGCCTGGATTGGGTATCTGAGATGGGCTTTGCTGGACAGACTCCAAATGTGATGACGTAGAGATGGAGGCACAGCAAGAGCAAAGGCATGGAGGCAGGAAGCTGCCCCGTCTGAAGGGAAAGGGCAGGCAGCGCAGTTTGGCAGGCCGGAGAGGCAGTGTGGGATTTAGGGTGTCAGAGATCTGGGCCCACCACTAGCCCATATGGTGCCTTTGTGAGAATTCGAAAAAGGTGCCCCCTCCTCTAAGGAATGCAACCCTGTCCCAGCCATGTCTTACTGAGCACAGCAAGGTCTGGATCTAAGCCCCTGCATCCCCTCTTGGGAACAATCTTTATAACTGTATGTGGCAGTGCTGCTTCAGTAGGGGGGAAGTTAAGCAAAATTGATTATGATTAGCTAGCCATATAAATAAATATGGGGGTGAAGGCAAAGATTTCTTAAAGAGGACACAAAAAGCTCTAACTACAAAAGAAAATTTTGATAATGTAGGCTATATTAAGATTTAAAACTTCTGTTCCTCAAAACGCACATTAAAGAGTGAAAAGGCAATCCAGAGACTGAAATAAGCTATTTGCAATACACTTGTCAAGTGGTGCACTGGTAAACCAGCTCTCCAAGAAAGAGAGGAAACCCTGATTTGTACTTTGCCTATTTCTATGGTATAAACACACCCACCACGGCAGATTTCAAGCTGCCAAACATGATGCCACGGAAGGCAGAGTCGGGAAGAGATGCTAAAATCAGCTCTCAAAAGCCAGTGTGTGTTGGCTCCTGCACACTAATGCATTCATGCGACAAAGGACTCACATCCACCATGAATCAAAGAGCGCCTAACAAATCGATAAGGAAAAGCTACACTACCCAACAGCAAACAGGTGGAATGCCCCAACAAACACCCATGAGGATATGCAAATAGCCAAGGAACACATGAGAAGAAGCTGAACTTCATGACTCATCAGGGAAAAGAAGGGAAGACCACAGTGAGATTTAACAGGCATCTACCAGAATAGCTCGACATTTAAAAAATTGATAATACCAAGTACTGGCAAGGATGAGAAGCAAATGAAATTCCCCTGCACCGATGGTGAGCGTGTGAATTGGTACAACCACCTTGGAAAACTGACAATATGTTGGAAAGCTGAATGCATGCCTATCCTGTGACCCAGAAATTCTTCTCCTGGGTATATACCAACAGAAATATGTACACATGGGCATCAAAAGACACGTATGGGAATGCTAACAGTAGCATTACTCATACCAGCCCCATCTTGGAAACTGCCCAAACACCTTCCAGGGGAAGAAATAAATACATTGTGGTATACTTACACAATGAAATATTATAAAGCAACGAAAACATGGAAACTAGGATTATACACTACATCAAAGAATCTCAAAAATCAAAAAGGAGTGGGGGTGGGGGCAGCCAGACACAAAAAGTACATTCTTTCTTACTCCTGTTATACAGAGTTCCAAAACAGGCAACACTCATCTCCAGTGTTAGAAGGTGGGGTGCCGGTTACCCTTGGGAGAACAGTGACTGCACAGAGGATGAGGGGGCTTCTAGCGTACCAGCTTTGCTGTTTCTTGATCTGGGTGTCAGTTACACCGGTGTGCTCAGTTTGTGATGATTTACTGGGCTACTGAGCAGTCTCTGTGTTGCTTGGTGTGCTTTCCCATAGTTATACTAAAAGGTTAAAAAATAATAAATTTGTGACCTTACAAATGCACAGATACATCTCCAACAATAATGTTAGGATGGAATAAAGGCAAAACACAAAATCATCTACGTACTGGGTCTCAATTCTTCTAATTAAAAGCTGAAGCAACATTTACAGTAGGCATGTTCATCTGATGCTAGCTTATCCAATAAAGCCACTTGTGTATACACTACAGAGTCCTGAGGAGGAGAAAGGACTCTTCCATCAGGCTGGCGGCAGGTTCTAAAGGGTGGCAGAGTTTCTCCATACTGAGCCCTGCTGGAGACCTTGATGGGAGCAAGGCTGAGTGAGGAGTGAATAGGCTAGCAAGCAAGGGAAGGCACTCATGCCCACACCCCTCAGACTCAGGCAGACCTGCCTTGCTCTGGAAGGCAGGGTGTTTGAAGACCTCCAAGAAGGAACCTGTTCCTCAAAAATCCTCCCACTTTTGCTACCTTATTATGTAAATTCTCATATTAGAGGTTCATTCCTTTGAATCAGAATTACCTTTCCTAAGTATCTCCTCTGAAATGACAAATATCTCCATGGGAAGGACAACAAGCTAAGCTCCTGGTAGCCACTACCACTTTAGTATGATTTTATTTTGTCTATAATTTTTAATTTATATTTAATTTATTTGATAAAGGACAATTTCCTTGATAGTAGAAAGGAGAAGGTTACCAGGATGAGAAGAAAGATTTGGAAAGGGTTGGGGTGGGGATCAGGAGAGTACCAAGAAGTACTAGAAAACTCTTGTGATTCACAACTTTGAGTTTAAAGTTTCAATCAGACTGTCCCAACCTTGAGGCTTCTGCCCCAGCTCATCTCAAAGGGCATTATGCTTGATATCACAGGACATAAAGGGGCTCTGGGCAAATTATCCATGTGATCAGACACAGAAAAGCTCAACAGTATGTTAAATTCAACCCAATTTGGCTTGCGGATGCCTCCACACTTGAGTCATTACATAAGGAACTGCAACTTAGTTTAGTAGGTAAACTAAGTGAAAGCCTAACTTAGGATGTAGACTTCTGTAACAAATAGCTGAGTCTCAGCCAATCACAGCAGCAGAGATGAAGTCAATCACAGGCAGCGAAGCCAAGCCAGCTGTCTCTGTACCTCACTTCTCTTTTCTGTACACAAAACACTGCCAGGATGTGTTTCAGGCAGGTCACTGAACCTGTTCTCGTTCTGAGGTTGCCCGATTTACGAATTTTTCTTTGCTCATTCAAACTCTGTTACATTTAATTTGTATCAAGTTTTTATTTTAATAAATACCAGCCAACACCAAAACTGTAATATCATTGAATGCTTGAATCTCAAATTTTAGAGATTGATTTCTCTGGAATGCGTGCAACCCTAGTTTAAGCAACTGTTTCTACAGCACAGCCCTCTTTGGAAAGGCAGACACAGGAAGTAGTTGCTGGCCATCAAAACCTTAGCGTGAGTTAGTTCCTCCTACTCTTGTGTAGAGGCAGCTACCCTGCTCCCTGCTACCACACCCGCATTCCTTTTGTTTCTCCCTGGATTTTGTTTCTCTCCACCAACTCCCACCCCTGTCAAAATAGGAAAGACTTTTACATCATTCCAAAAATGTCTATAGTGTGCTCAAAACAAGTCAGAAAAATCTAG